CCCCCTCCCCAAGTCCCGTGCCGCCCCCCTCCCCGCCCCAGCTGGGCAGCTTGTCCCAGCCCCAGTCCCAATCCCTCCCTCACTGTGGGGGTGTTGATCTGCTCCCCCCAGGCCCCTTCCTCCCACCTCTGCCTACCACAGCACACTTACCAGCTGGAGGCAGCTGTGTCCAGCATCGTCAAGGACTGCCTGTATTGTCTATGGCCGAACCTCCAAATCTGAATCAGCCAAATTGAATCAGGACAATGATTCAAATCACCAAATCGAATCACTGAACCTCTGAATTGGCTGAATCTGAATCCAAAGCAAATACTTGCTGCTTTGCACGGGCCTACTGAAAAGCCAGCAGCCATTAACCCTTTTTTAACCAAGCAAGGAAGGAATCCCCCACCTCCCAGGCAACAGTGAAACCTATAGCTGGTTAGCAGACAAAAAAAAGGGGGAACTGACAGTGGTCAGCTAGAGGGGCTGAGAGACCAGAATAAGATGATGTGCACCAATCACCATCATAGAATCAGAGAAATGAGGGGCTGGAAGGGACCTTGGAAGATAATCGAGTCCAACCTCCCTGCTCTGGGCAGGAATACTGCTGAGATCAAATGATCCCAGCAATCCTGGTTTTCTCTGTTTAAAAATCCAAAATTCTTGGATTAAAACCCCCAAATCCATGATTGCTTGTCTTCTGTTTCTCTTCTCTGCATCCTGGCCCCTCTATCTGATTTTGTCCTTTAGGAATGCAGAGTATTAAGGGCAGGGACCAAGCCAGATCTTCTACTGAGATCCTGCTCCTTTGTCCTGTAAGCGGTGAAGGAGGAATTCCCCCAGAAGCTTAAAGCTGGCAGACCCTGCTCCTTCACCAACTGCTTCACCAGACTTTGCAGGCAGACAGGAGGGTGTCAGGAGGACAAGACAAAGAGAGCCTGTTGGAGAGAAACATTGTTGTGTTCATTTTGCGCTGGTGTAGGGACCACCAGAGGGTCTGTATTAGTGATATCCGTTAGATCAGCTTCTCAGCTGTTCCAGTTCAGGGAACTCTGCAGATCAGCCTGTAGGATCAGAAAGCAATATTTTGTTCTCTAATGCCTCACCACCCCCAGGTTCCTCTTGCCTCATTGAATGGGCCACTCTATTTACCTGTGTATCTGCACAACACCTGGCACATACAAAGATACTACTGTAGCATTGATGATTGTATAATGAAAGTGCCTGAATGCCCCCGTACCCTGGCAAATATTCATAGGCCCCAGTACCCAGTTTGCACTTAAAACAGTGTACCCATGATTGCAGGCACAGCTGGGCTTCCCTGTATGTTTATGAAAGCAAAGGACCTAGCTGGCAGAACTACACTGGGGAAAGACATCAGCATAGTTTTGCTTCTAAGGCACATATACAGACCTCTCCTTCCTCATTCCTCCCAGGTGCTGGACAGCATTTACTTCAGCCGGCGGTTCCATGTGCGCTGCGTGGCAAAAGCTGTGGACAAGGCTGGCCACGTGGGGACTCCACTGAGAAGCAACATTGTTACCATAGGGACAGACAGTGCCATTTGTCACACCCCAGTAGTAGCTGGAACAGCCCGAGGCTTCCAGGCACAATCTTTCATTGCCACACTGAAGTATCTGGATGTCAAACACAAGGAGCATCCTAACAGGTATCAGCTTGGGAATGCACTGTCACGTGACTCTGATTCTGGTATTTTAGGGTTCTAAATATTTCACTCGGGTTTTTTTGTTATACATAGACAACTAACAGAACTGAAAATGAGAGTAGGAAATGAAATTTCTTTCCTGTACCATGTGCTGGATCCTAACCTTACCTGATCATATGTTCAGTAGTGCAGAGTTGTAGTGTATGCATCTTGTTCTTTTTCTTTCCCTCACTTGTGTGGAGTTATAATAACACCGCTGTCAGTGAGACTAACATGAGCAAGGAAATCCAGCCCTAAATAAACATCAGACTAGAAAACACACCTTCACCCTTTAACCTGTTCACAGCTCCATACCTTTTTGTTGTGTAAATCGATGGAGTATTCCCCTCTTTTGTGAAGCTGCCTTTGAATAAGCAGCTGCATCTGCTTATTTTTTCTGCAATCTGTTCCAGAATCCATATTTCAGTGCAAATTCCCCACCAGGATGGAATGCTTCCTCTCATCTCCACAATGCCTCTGCACAACCTGCATTTCCTGTTATCTGAGTCCATCTACAGACACCAGCATGTCTGCTCAAACCTGGTTACCATCAGTGACCTTAAAGGCATCTCAGGTAATCGTGAAAGCAAACTCTTGCTTTGTAAATGTGAAAGAGGAGATGTAGATCTTTAAACTCTTAAAGGCAAGGACCCTATACAACTATTTCTGCATGTTGATGGCATTAGCTACATAATGAATAATAATTAATTTCTCTGCTTAAGTAATAATATTAGTCAGCAGAGGTTTCCTATTTGTGGAGGGTATATGTTAAATCACAAACTGTATGTGTCTACACTTGCACGATTACCGTGCAGTAACTTAGGTTACTGCACAGTAATGGGAAATTACTGTGCAGTATGGGCACATGTCTACACATGCGCACCCATATTGCGCAGTAACTATGGTGACTTACGCCGACTTGAGCATAAATTTTCTACCTGCATCATGCTACCTGCCCAAGTAGTTACTGCGCAGTAAGGCATGTGTAGATGATTTACTGTGCAGTAACCCTGTGTGTGCGGACTGACTTGGGACTCAACTTTAGTCCCAAGTCAGTCCACACACAGCTTTACTGCGCTGTAATGCCTGCACGTGAAGACGCCAGCGTAAAAACCGCTTAAATGCATATGTGTGTAAATGCGCCCACTGAGGAGTTAATTTTCTCTTTTTCCATCTATATTCCATGGCAAGGTTCTGAGGGTCATTTGACAGACAGACACACATGCCCTAATGCCTCTGTCTGCAGCGTGGCACAGAAGGCAAATGAATTGCCTTCTGTTCTGCCACAATCCAAAAAAAAGTCAAAACATGTCATTAAAAATCAGCTTAATCCAGTCACAGATTACAGAACAGTATTACATATGTATCACAACTGCATGTAGATTTTATGGTGTCACTAGAGAGCAGAGTTCAGGTTGTTCAGGGTCCTTAGCTGTGCATTTTTCTGCCTCTGTAGGTTTCCTGCCTCAGTAGATACCTCTGAATTTCCTGGATTTATTTGATGTATTTTATATATTTGTTGCTGTTTAGGTTTATATCTTGCCCTATCCAAAAGGCTCAGAGTGGGTTTCTGATGTTTGCTTTTAGAATAATTGCAGCACCCCATCCTTATTTTCATAGGTGATGCGTGGGGGGGGCACATCCCCCCCCCCCCGAGATTGGCCCTCGCCAGCTGGGGAGCAGGGGGGGGTGATGGCCAGTGCCCCCCTGAGATTGTGGGGGTGCCAAGAGAAGCACCGGCGGCACTTCCGCTAGCAGCAATCAGCTGCTGGGGAAACCCCCTTCCTTCTCCCCAGTCAGCAATTGGCCACTGGTGCCCCCCTCCCCAGGATCAGAAGGCACCAGTCACCCATGCTTATTTCTACCTTTAAGGCACTGAGAAGTCCTCAGCATTCACTCCTGTTTAATAGAGTAAGCCTTGCCTCTGGACACTACTTTAATAAATATCATCATCAAAGCACATCTAGTATCTTGTCTGAGAATTAAAATGCAACATTCTTAATACACAGAACCAAGTCCTCTTTTTCTTATCATTCCAGAAGCAGGATTCCTGGATGAGGTGACTTATGACAGCCTCATTCTGGGTCCCGGGTATGATCGTCCCTATCAATTTGACCCCACCGTGAGAGAGCCAAAGACAATCCAGCTTTACAAGCAGCTCAACTTAAAGAGCTGCATTTGGACCTTTGATGCTTACTATGACATGACAGAATTAATTGATGTCTGTGGAGGATCTGTCACTGCTGACTTCCAGGTAAGGTTTCATTTCCAAGGCCCAACCCAGATCTGGCAGTATTTACTCATTGTATCCCTCTTCTGCCTCACAGATTTGAAACGTATTTGATTTGTCCCTGTTACCATAGGTAGAATAGTGCATCATGAAATTTACTTGGTCCTTTTATTTTGATAAGCCTAACATACTCTGTAAATTTTGTAAAGGCAATGCTTTATTATCGATATAAACCTTTGTGACTGTCTTTTGCTATTAAATGCTATTAAATGCTTTTACACCTGCTTAGAATTTGATCCTTTATGAATAGTAGAGTGAGGCCATAGACATTTTTTGAGAATTCTCAAGTTTTTCTGTTAGCAGAGCGAGAATGAGCAATGGTCTGTAATAAAAGTGGCTTCTTTCTGTATGTACCACTGCCCTCTGCTGGATAGAATATATTTTTGCCTTTCAACTCAAGAAGGGGTGGATCAGCAACTTCAGTGAGACCACTTAGGTTAGTTTTTAGTACTGCTGAAAACCAGAAACACATACATACATCCAGAAACTGTCATATGTCACACAAGCTCATGTGTATATCAGTCCCTTCCATTGGCTGTCCAAGGATTGCTATTTCTTTCATCTCTGCAGCCAAGACTGAGGATTTTGATGGATGTACCAATCCTCCTGCTGGGACTTAAAGCCAGCAGTTCCTGGCTAGAAGGTCTTGCCCCTCCACTGAGGGTCAGACTGATCACTATATTTGGGGTCAGGAAGGAATTTTACCCCATAGTCAGATTGGTATAGACTGTGAAGGTTTTTGCCTTCTTCTGTAGCAGGGGGTATGGCCCTTTACCTGGAATCTCCTGAGTGTGTATTAACAACCTTTTTGTAGAAGCAGGACATTGGTTGCTGTGGTTCTCCTGATTTACCTGTGGCAAGTTAGGGTGTTATGTCTTGTGTTAAGGTTGACAGTAGTTTTATGAAGAGTTTAGATTATGGTTTATATAGGATAGTTTGGATAGGGATGATCCTGCCTTAAGCAGGGGGTTGGATTAGATGACCTCTGGAGGTCTCTTCCAGTCCTATTTCTCTGTGATTTTCTATGAATGGAGGCTTGTGTTTCTAGAGATAAAATCCAACCTTCCAGGGCCTCATGCATGGTTAGCTAATGACTGCAGTGCAGTCTGGGTTCCCAGCTGATCCAGCCCCACAGTGGCATGGAGATGATCCATGAGACGGAGGAATGGCACAGGGTCAGTCTGCAGGCCTGATCTGGTGTGTGGAGGGTCTACAACATCTGTATGACTCCCCATGGGTCTGAATATTTGCCAGCACAAGTGGTAGCATTAAATGCTGCTGCTCTGGAAACTGCAGCAATTAATGCTGCCACTGCTTCCTGAGGGCCATATCTTGGTCACCCTGCTGGAGTGTGTTTCTATGGTAGAAGCCAAGTACAGACACATCCATATTTATGGTTCAGATAGTGCCATTCATATAAAGGTAAAGAAATGTTTACACAGCCAGCTTTGACTAACTCTAGTGCTTGGGGCAGGTGAGAACTGCTCTGTATTTGTACTGTGCTCTTTTAGCAGCTGAAGTGGTATTACTTATTTTTCCAGCGGCAGCCTAAAAGTGCTTTCTTTGTTTACATTTAAATTCCCATGATTAGTAAATCTGGAACAGTACACAGGCCTCTACTGGCTGGGGTGAATTTACCCAGTATGCGAGCTTTAGGCAATTAAAATGAGGTTTTTACCAGTAATTAAGTACTGGTTTCACTGTGTTATTTAAGTTAGTGGTTCCAATCTCATTGCCTTCAGTGAGACCACAGATAGGCTGGTGCAGAATGTTTTTTAAAATCCTATCCATAAAATTAGCACTGATGCCTTATTTTTTATTATTCAAATAAAACTTATACCTGTAGTTTAGTTTTAATAGCTGAAAAACTTTAAAAAGATATTCCTTAAGATGGGTATGTCTATATGTTAAACTGCATAGTAGTGTGGAGATACATGACCTAATTTAGGTAAACAAGAAACAAGTTAAATTATCCAGTATTGAGTTTTATGCTTCTACAGCTACACTGCATTTGGTACCTGAGGTACCAGAACTGCAACTTGCTTGCTATTTCTACAATAGTGCAGTGTAGGCATACTCTTTATTCTTTCCAATCCATGCTTCAGGCATTAAAAAGGAATGTTCACCAATTCCATTCACTTGATCACAGAACTACATAGATACGCCTCCAGAGTGAAAATAAAGAAAAATGTCTATTTAGCTATACCAGAATGGCAGAGGATTAAAGGCTTTTAATCCTATACAGCAGTAGTAAATACTAGCCTATACTACATAGGCTACTACTTACTGGAAGTAGGAGACTGCATACTACATGCTGGCTGTATCTACACATACACTTTACTGCAGAGTAAACATTAACTGCGGAGTAAAGCATCACTGTCTACATGTGCGACGGTATTAGGCCACAGTAAACTAATTTATGGTGCAGTAAGATAATACTTTCATGGACAGTACTATCTTAGGCCAGGGTATGTAGACACTGACCGCATGTGTAAATTGCACCCAGTCAGCCCAGCCAGTGGAGGGCCAGATTCCTGCCTGCCACCTAGCCACACGGCTCCATACTTCCAGCACCCTTGTGCCCCAGCCAGCCCTCTCCCCACCCTCCCCTGCATCCTGAAGCCACCACCTAGAGCCTGGGGCTGAGAAACCTGGCATAGACTGTTCTGCTCTGGCTCAAATTGTTGCTGTCCTGAGCACACGTGTAGACACTGCACCCAGGAGTATTTTACTCCAGCTTGAACTGCTACAGAATTTATTACTTCAAATTAATTGCACATATAGTGTTGGCTACAAATGTCCAACTCGGGATCCTTAAAATTCTGGTTTATTAGACAGATTGAAGCACTGTAATGAAGTTAAATCATAAACCTTGGGGCTGGTCCCCACCCCACACACACATGCACACACACAATAGCGAGCTACAAGAGTCAGGTATACCTATCCCACAGGTGCTGGAGTCTGCCGTTGAGGCTTCTTCCAGCATGGTGTTATCTTCCAGAAGGGGGTCGCCGGCTGGTCCTTCTGGCTGGACAAGTCGGGTGCTGGTCAAGTTGGAGATCAAGAGGGCACCACTGAGGGTCACTTTTCACTGCTTTTTATCTGTCCTTGGCAGACTTTGCTGACTCCCCAGTTTTCAGGTTTGCCCAATCCAGGGGTCGTTGACCCTCGTGGGACTTCCCCCTCGGTGGCTACTGGATGGCATCTGTCAGCCCCAGGGGTCGTCTGCATGTACGTGCAGGTTTGGGAGTCCGTTGATGAATTTTGAATAGGGCTCTGGGAGCGGTCGATCTGGAGATATTCAGCCCAAAAGTTGGTCCCCGGCATTGATTAACTCAGACCAGGGCGTCTAGCCCTTGAACAGTGAGGTTTAGAGAATTCCCGGTTGCTACATTGTCTTCTATTGATTTCTTTCGTTGGTTGATCTGCAGTTTTCCTAGGTGTTAATTGCTGCCTGCTACTGAGTTACGCATTCAATCACTGATTCACTCGCTCTTTCAGGGGCCTGCCTGATACAGGGTAGCGGCAGGTTGATTTCCGCCCCTGTTAACATTGTTACAGTGTATAACTTACTTCTGAAACTAAACACATTTAGTTGAAAGGTGAGGAGTATAAAATATAAGCTACAAAAGTAATGCCATGGCACACAAATAGATAAAATACCAAAATACAAGGTGAGATACAAAATACACACATACAAACTTTAAAAAACAATTCCTTATCTTATACTGAAAGAAAGAGGAAGGAAGAAAAAGTAGAAGAAGAGAAACATATCCAAAGAGGGGAGAGCAAATGCAGGCAAGAGGAAAAGGGGACTTTCTGCTACAATAGATGCAGCCACTATGTAGTACTTACTACTGCTAGAACAGCTAGCCTAATACTTAGTACTGCTTACTACAATTGTTATATTATACAGAGCCACGAAAGATTTGTCCTGTAATATAAATCATTTTAAATTCCTATTTTGGTCAGGTTCTCACTGCAAACAATTACTAGCCAAACTATGTTGGCAAAACCCTTGATGCCAATAGAAGAAGGCTTTTATGGGCTTAGTTAATGTTGTCTGGGGAGGTGGCATAGCTATGCCAGTACTGTGTCTGTACTCGGAGTTTTTGCTGACAGCAACAGCTTTGTAACGTAGATGAAACCTACCATGCTTTTGTGTTTCCTATGCCTACGACATCCATGGTTCTTGCAGAAGAAGAGAGTCTAACACTCAGCTGGCAGACTAGAAGACCAGAACAAAAAGATTTTTTTTTAATGTATCTCTGACCCTTTTCTCTATTTCTGTGGTGAAAGCTGAGTACAAAATGTTTTCTGGTTAAAATGCACCTACAAAGCATGGTTGCAAGCTCATGCCAGGATCTTTTCTCTAAAAAGTTATAGAACCATAGAATCATAGAAAATTAGGGTTAGAAGGGACCTCAGGAGGTCATCTAGTCCAATCCCCTGCTCAAAGCAGGACCATCCCCAACTAGATCACAACCATCCACAACCATCTTCCTGTTTGACAGGTGCGAGATTCTGCTCAGTCCTTCCTAACAGTCCACGTCCCGCTCTATGTATCATACATCTATGTGACAGCACCTAGAGGTTGGGCCTCTCTCGAGCACCACACAGAGATGGAATTTTCCTTCTTCTATGACACCGTTCTCTGGAGGACAGGTAGGCGGAGGGAGGGTTTTCTTTCCTTCAGTTGTTTCTCTTGGACTGCACACCTGACTTGGCAAAGTAAATGGGACTTGTGTGGGTTAGCATGTGTGGGATCAGTCCCTTAAACTGTAAACAAATAGCCAGGGGGACTAGCATTCCCCCCTTAACCTCTCTGTCAATATTGCAAAATGGATTTCACCAAGTTGTAGAAACTGCAGCTTAGCAAGACCTTTGAGGTCAATTCCCCTTCCCCCCACCCCTAACCCTAGCTTGCTCTGCCCCTCCTTCCCAAGTGCTGGCCAGGATTGCTCCTGGGGGCATACTTTGTAGTGCTTTCCCCAGCTGTCTTTTAAATTTAATCTAATATTGGAATTACCAACTGCATCTCACAACCCATCAGTCCTCAGAGAACAGGATTCTTTCCTAGTGCAACCTCATAGAGTTGTACTACATTACTCCCAACTATAAATCCTACTTAGTTCAGGCCACATCCAACTTAAAGGTGTCTGAGTGGCATTTAGGGATACAAGTGCAATCCTATTCCACCCTGCTTGAATCCCTGGAAAATTCTTAATACAAGAGGTCAACGAGTCCTTTTTCTCCTGTCTGCTTTTCATGACCACTAGCCTTTGTCTTAAGGCTAAGGTGAAGGCACCTTACCAAAGGAATGCTTTCTCAGGGACTTGCCAGGGAACAATAGGATTGCACATTGACACCTTATAGATAGAATAAGGTCTGGCCCTTCCTCTCCTCCTTCAGTGAGTTACACCCCCTTCACAGGTTATCACAGGTTATCCTGTGTGTGACACTTGGGATTCCATTTTGGATTAATTTTCTCTTCTGTTTCACCCAACATTTGATGTAGTTTTGCTAGTCATATAGAGTGAGAGCAGCAAGGATTGCACCCTGGGCATGCATTGCCAGAATCCCCATTGTTGGAATTCATTCTGGAGATGAAAATACACCTTAGTGCAAGCTGGTCCTGTAGGTAGTCCTCTCACCATTACATTTACTTTCTCCACCTCGTACTCATGCAGGAATCCAGACAGACAGTGTTCTTTCTGCAAGGCTGCAGATAATACGAATCTATATCCGAGAGGATGGCCGCCTGGTGATAGAATTTAAGACCCAGGCCAAATTCAGAGGTAGGTAAGAGCATCAGCCTGATTTAGAAGCAGAGTGTTCAAAAATACTGGGAGCTACCACAACCAGTAATGGTAGGTGACTATGCTGCTGTATACCAGACACCTGTGTTCTTGCCACTGTTGCTCTGAATCTCCCTTAAAGAAGAGCCTGTACAGAACAATGTTCCCTCTAAGGTTTAGTGATCCATGAGCAATCCTGGCTGGGAGTGTGCAGGTATCTTAGTGTGCCCGCTTCTCCCCCCTCGTGCAGCAGCCTGTGCCCAGGATGCGGTGGGTGGCAAGCGGCCAGATGAAAAGCTGGTGGCAGTGTGGGGAACATTGGCACCCCCTTGCTACAGCACTGGGCATTCACCCCCAGGCCGGTGCCCGGGGGACATGGCCCCGTACTGCCCCCCTCCCCCACCCACCTCCATCCATACACCACTGTGTGCACAGCATTAAAAAATTATTGCGTGGCATGATTTTTTTATTGCGCACGGCCGCACATGCACGCAGCTTAGAGGGAACGCTGATATACAAACAGAAGCACTGAATTAAGGTTTGCAAGACTGGTCCCTTCTATGTTTGACTTTATTTTAGACCTTTAATGAACATTAGCTATTGTAATCTGTAGCAGTTCCGCGGCCACGGGGATAGCCATAATGCCTCCTGGTGGCTGTGCAAGCCCTGTCTGGCTCAGGCTTGGCTATAGCCCTTTCCTTGAATCTCACCAGCCATGCCTTGCTCTTAGTGAAGGTTATAAAAGGGAGGCTGCCTGTGGGCTGTATATAAGCCTAAGCCCAATGGTGACTGGTGCCTCCTGTCGATCCCCATTGGGCCTTTCCTAGGTCCCCTCTGTCACAATCCTGCACCTAGGCCAGCAGGCCCTCTCAGCCTGTCTCTACTGCAGCTGGGCACCTGTTGCTTTAATGGCTCCATGTGTGACTCCGTATCTCCCCTACACCACGCCCCAAACCTTGCAAGTGTTCTTTCTCTGTGATGTTGACTAATTATGCACTCAGCCCCCTTTGGCCTTTGGACACCCCTGGTCCCTTACACCATTCCTTATTGGGCTCTCAGACCTCTGGTCTTGCATGTGACCCCTTCTCCGGGCTCAGGAACCCTCTGGTCCAGCTTAGCCCTCCCCCAGGCACCAGGACCCTCTGTGGGCTCAAGATAAAACCAAGGCTACTTGCCTGTAAACTCAGTCCTTCTCTGCCTAGGGGCCTTGCCTCTGCTTCCAGACCTGCAGCACTGGTTACATAAATTTCAGTCCTTTCAGGAGCCCTGCTGCCCAGAGCTCTTCACCCTGTGGCTGCCAGGGAGAGACTCCCAGACTGGCCCAGGCTCTGGGCTTATATAGCTGTAGCCTGTGCCCTCTTTTGGTCAAATGAGTCTCTTATCAGGATGATGCACCACCTGCAAGCAGCCTCACAGGCTTCCAGCTCACTTAAAGGAGCAGGCACATCCCAGTGCCCTGCTACATAATCACACCCATCCACATATGACTTCATCACAGGTGTTTAGGAAGGCTGGGTATGGATATAAATGTGTCTGTATGTATTCACGTTGAATTTGTTTTCCACTTGGCAGGACTTTTTGTAATGGAGCATCACACACTGCCGGATATGAAGTCTTTTATAATGACACCAGACCACCTGGGGGGGATTGAATTTGATCTACAGTTGCTGTGGAGTGCTCAGACTTTTGACTCTCCCTATCAGCTCTGGAGGGCGACCAGCTCCTATAACAGGTGAGGGAGAAGATCTGTGGTTTCAGTTGGCTTTTGCCAACAAGTTTTCACAAGTATTAACAGCATTTTTGAACAGGATGCCCAGGCCACTCATAGTAGTGTGGCATTTATCCTTTTGTTGTTTACAACATTAGTCACCAGCAGAATTAGCCACTAGCAGTGATGGTCAGTGGTCTATGTGGAATGGATTCTGTGGTCTCCAGTTTGGTAGGCAACCTCAAACAGGAGGAGCTAGAATTAAATGACCTTGGAAACCTGCCTTACCACAAGGTTCAGAAATGATGCATGTGGGGGGACAGCCAACCCTGCTGCAGCCAATGTTGTGTCTCTCAAATGACTGAAACAGGCCAGCTGGGCTGAGTGAGTGTATCAATTTCATCACAGGCCAACTGGGCTGTTTGATTCAGTTTTGGATCAAAGAGGCAAAGTTGAGAGTGAAATAAAGGCAAATTTATTAAAGCTTATACACACACAACAGTTAACAGAAAGATAAATGCGATAAGCAGACAATGCAGTATAAAAGAGCTAATAGTAAATAATAATGATAGATAGATAGATAGACCAATCTGTTACAGGCCAACTGGGCACTGTGGGGGTATTAGCCACACTGGGCTGTTCAAAACAACAAATAGACAGACATGGGTTGGCAACTTATCGATAGTCCCTCAATGCCAGGTGCGTGTCAAGTGATTCCAGCAAAGTCAGGCATCCCCGTTTGATGCTGTCAGAGGGATTACCGGGGAAGATTCCTTGATCAGGATCCAATCCTCACTCACACCGGGAGTCGGGGGTCCAGACGTGGAACAGAAATGACCATTCTTATAGATTCATAGATTCATAGATGTTAGGGTCAGAAGGGACCTCAATAGATCATCGAGTCCGACCCCCTGCATAAGCAGGGAGCCGATACTCATCTAACCTCCTCTTGAAGACCCCCAGGGTAGGGGAGAGCACCACCTCCCTTGGGAGCCTGTTCCAGACCCTGGCCACTCTAACTGTGAAGAAGTTCTTCCTAATGTCCAATCTAAATCTGCTCTCTGCTAGCTTGTGGCCATTATTTCTTGTAACCCCCGGGGGCGCCTTGGTGAA